CAGTGCCAGCAGTACCAGCTGTGCCAGCAGCAGCAGTGGGGCAGGGCCTGCAGACATTCGGGATCTCGGCGGATGCTGCCGGGTGGCCGGAGGACAGCGATTACCTGACACTCCTGTTGGCTGAACGGCCCCGGTGTTTTCCCCAGGGACTGGCACTGCCTGATGGTCTTCCTGAGGTGCCTCCTTTTCCACAGGCTCACGCTCCAGAGCTTTAGAGAGAAAGTGTGTCAGCTGAATTGCAAGTCCCCATTCCTCATGGGGATCTGCCAGAGCTGGGGGCTGGCCCTGGCCTGCCCACCTACCCACTGCCCACGGTCGCCACGGAGCAGCCCCGACACCCCCGGCTGGCAGGGCCACCAGGAGGAGGATGAGGGCCAGGGCCCACCGTGCCTGCACCATGCTGTCACTGCTGCTGCTGGCACAGCTGGTACTGCTGGAACCGCCACTGCTGGCACTGTCACTGCAGGCACTGCAGGCACTGCTGGCACTGGCACTGCATGCTGCCACTGCTGGCACCGCTGGCACCGCGGCACTGGCACAACTGACACAACTGGCACAACTGACACAACTGGCAGTGCTGGCACTGCTGTTGCTCCTGCCACCACTGCTGGAGCCTTGAGCAGGAACCAAACTCTTCAACAAAACACCCAGGAGGAGTCTTGGTCTCCTGCCCAAGCCTTCAGCCACCTCCAGAGGAAGTGAGTACACTCTTGGTGGTGCCCAGGAGGAATCCTGGGAGGCTGCCAGACATGAACTGGCCTCTAACACGGACACAACAGGTACATGATCTACGTGGGGGCATCTGCAGCTACTGCTCACGGCTTCAGTTGCTGCCAGACTGTTATAGGTTATAAATTCCATAGGGGAATTTTTCATCTGAGACAACAGTGAGTCCCGTGGGAGTGAACCGCTTCCCTTCCCTTTTTCTCCCATCGAGGGAAGGGTCCCCCAGTTTCTTTTCGGCTCCTCCCGCGACCCCCCCAGACCCCTCCAGACCCCCCTCCCCGTGTGGTGACCGCCAGAGCCCAACAGCGTCCCTTGCAGGCCACGGTTAGGACTGTGCTAAAGGACAGAGAGGTATTCCTTCAGACTTGTTTGTTTGGTTGGTTTGGTTTGCTTTTTTTTCTAGGACTACTGTCTAATTTTTTTGTGTTCTGTTACTGTTTTTGCCAACATACATATATCTTTTAATAAAGGGTTGTTATTTCTTCTGTTTTTTCCACACTTCCTCGATTAAAGCCCCTTAATTTTGAATTTACAATTACTGAGAGAGAGAAGTTTGGTCTATCTCATAACTCATCCTCGTTAGCAAACATTCCAGTCTCCTCTGACTGTGACACAGACAAAACCACAACACTCTTGGAGATGCCAAGACAGAGTCCCAGGGAGCCTCCAGGAAAGGACCTGCCTCCAAGCATGGGCAAAACACTTTGGCTTGCAACCTTGGAGGGGTCTGGGGCTGCTCACAGCGGTGCTGGCTGTTCAAGGATGGACAAAACACATTCAGCTCCTGGTGCTGAGCACAGAAACCAAAGCAGCAATGCAAACGTGTTCCAGAATAAAGCCGGTCCCATTGCCTTCCCCCCAGCTGCTCCCTCCCTATCCCAGGCTCTGGGGCTCTTTCCCTGATGTGATGCACAGAATCCTCTCTGCTGACACTGTCATCAAAGCTGTGAAATCACAATTCTGGCCGGTGGCTGAGCCGATGCTTTTGCACGAGGGGCAGCCAGCACGTGTCATGCTTGGTGATCCTGGCACTGGCACTGCTGAGGTGTGAGGATGTGAGCAACTGGGGGCTGGGGTGGGAGGTCGGGGCTGTCGGGAAGGGGGCTGCCCAGGCACCGCTCTATTGCATGTCCCCGTGCCTTGCACACACATTCCCTGTGCCTTGCACACCTACACCCCACTCCACTGCACACCTGCACCCACATCCATATCACACCTGCACCCACATCCACATCACACCTGCACCCACATCCACATCACACCTGCACCCACATCCATATCACACCTGCACCCACATCCACATCACACCTGCACCCACATCCATATCACACCTGCACCCACATCCATATCACACCTGCACCCACATCCATATCACACCTGTACCCACCCACATCACACCTGCACCCACATCCACATCACACCTGCACCCACATCCATATCACACCTGCACCCACATCCATATCACACCTGCACCCAC